TTTTATTCAAATCAATTTGAACTAAATTGTACTACAATGGCTAGGTTGTCGCCATTCGTACAATTGGCAACACCTTATAAAGTGTTTTTAAATATTGAACATTTTTAAAACACTTATAAAAAGGTACGCCAGTCTTTTAATCATAAGTTAAGAATCGCTTTTGGGTTTTATGAAATCCTTCAAATCCCCTAAAGCTTTTTTAACTTTCTCTATTATCTTTATTATTAACTTAAAGTTTAGTTTTTCTAAACAAACAACTCAACGACAAATAGCTTTCAACGCAGACTTATTAACAAGTCTAAATTAACTTTTTAAACATTTAACGTTTGGCGCTCCCTGGAGGTGAACCATAATGCAACGCTTGAATGTTTTTTTTCTGGTCTGGTTTTTTGTTTATTTTTTTAAACTGTAGTTAATATTATTATTATTTTTTTTAGTTATTGGCATTGTAATACTTATTATATTTTTAGATTTGTTATAAATCTTACTCAGACTTTGCATTTTGTAAACTAGTTTTTAAGAATTTTTCAACAAAAAAAGAATGAAAAAGAAACTACCGCAAAAGAAAACAAAAGTAAATTCATAATCAAAATAAATAATAAAAAAGTCAATGATTTTTTATAAAAAAAACTAAAAATCTTTATGTGTTTTACTTGAAATTTTATTGGGGTTTAATTTTTTGTTTTTAATGGTATACGCACAATTGGGACGAACGACGAATTTCTTATAGTACGACGAACTAGTAGACAACTATTCGTTGCGTAAATTCGTCGAATGGAACAAAAGTTAGAAAAAGGAACAAATATTATATTTTTGTGAATCTCCACGATTTTGAGATAATTTTACCAGCTTTAAAACTTATTCGAGCATTATTTCGAATTTAGAACTAAAATTATATTTTTGTGAATATCCCCAATTTTGAGATTATTTTAACAGCTTCAAAATTTTTTCGAACATTACTTTGAATTTTCGAACTTAATTTTACAACATAGCATTGTAGTGTTGCCAGACTGCCAAATTTCAGACAATTCGGGCTACCGGAATTGGTCTTAAAACAATTTTCCCCAATTAATTCGTCGTTCGTCTGCATAAGAAATAGAAATAAACGTATCGCATAGTTCGTTACGTACGACGAATTTCGTCATACGCAATGATTGTGTACATTTTCATATACCCAAGTGTGTTCTATTTCTGACGAAGAATATTCGTTCCGAAAAATTCGTCGTTCGTCCCAATTGTGCGTATACTATAAAGGGGTTTTTAACATTAAACAAATCGTATAAATCACTTAATTGTATCAGTATTTTGATACAATTCTTTAATTTTATTCATGTATTTATTTGGGGGGATCTGATTGTATGGGAAAAAAGGTTTCCCAAAATGAAAGTTTGATTAATTTGTCCTAGAGTCAATATTTGCTGAGCTAGGTCAAAGGTTAAAAGGTGATTTCTTAAGGTTTCTCAAAATGTATTCATATTTTACGCTAAAGAATGTTATGCAATTTTTATATCATGTGAAAAGTCTTTGAGAGGAGCTTTTAAAGGCCTTCTTACTAAATCTCAAAAATATTGAAAATTTAAAAAGTTTAAAAATCTAAAATTTTTGCGAAATATTAAGACAAAGACCTCAAATAGAAGCAGCTTGCTTATGTAAAGGGACGATCGGTGGAAACCGCGTTGAATGTAGTTTTTCTCCAATAGTCCTCCGAGTGAACCTAACCTAGCAAGTACTCCATAACTCGACTAAGGATTAGATGGGTAAACTGCGAGATGTACGTTATAACTTAACTTAACCCTTAACTTTGGGTAACTGCATTTAATAACCTCCTAAGAGCCCTAACGGAAAAAGGACTTAGAGCTGTCTGCTATGCTAAGGAGTAATGATCTAAATTACCTGTGTAGAAGGGATGAAGAGGCTCTGAATACCAGCCCTAAGGTACTCAATCAAGATGGCTAAATGTTAAACCGGCGAGGACTTAATTCTAACTTTTCTCAAGAACTCTGCCGGTTACCAACAGAGTCGTGTACTTAGGTGTAATCCTTGAGATACCCGATAGGGGATAGGACCAACAAGGCCCATCGGTGCTGATAGCGATTTAGAATAATCATAGGCATGAAATGGGGTCTTAGTCCTACTACGATACATTAGCTTTACAAAGTCTGTTACTGGACACATTGGAAGGCTGTGCACAAACGTTGGACGAGCGCGATCGCATACCAGACACATAATGTTTCGGTCAAGCTATATATTTGCATAAATACCAGTAGAAATCCGTTGCTACACAGATGACTCTAAACTGGGGAACAAAACGGAATGCGTAAATTGGATTAGAATAAATATGGCGCCAAATATTTTCAACTATATAGACAAAAAATTTTTGGTCCAAGTTAATCTAATTTAATAGAAATCTATTCGAATACGTACTCTCTATTGAAGATCATTTGAAGAGTGTGGAATGCAATTTTCCGGTTTCGACAGTATACGATCTAATTTTTATTCAAAATCTTGATTTATTGTTACTAGAAACTACTAGAATGGTCTGTCCTTTCATGACGGTTTTTGGTTAGTTTAGGCGTCAAGCCCCCTATTTTGAAACTTAAACAATAATTTAAGATAATTTTTAAAATAAAAAGTTACCTTTCTAATGAAGCGCCACATGGCTCGTCAAGACATTGAAACATTTCGTAAATTGTTGGAAAAGGGTCGTATTATCGAACACAATATGATGGAAGTTGAGGCCAATCGAGGAAGTATTAAGAATTGTACATACTGCAAAATCCGTGGACACACTATTGACAAATGTCACAAACGTAAAAATGCCGCAAATAAAGATGAAGATGAATAGAGATCTTCGAGTGCTTTTTATACTTCAGATTCTAGTCTTTAACTTTAAACTAGTTTTAGTTGAAATGATTGAGAAAAAAAATCTTAAAAATTATGAACTTTGAACCTCAATAGACTAGACTATAGACTAGACTATAGACTGGACTATAGACTATACTATAGACTAGACTATAGACTAGACTATAGACTAGACTATAGACTAGACTATAGACTAGACTATAGACTAGACTATAGACTAGACTATAGACTAGACTATAGACTAGACTACAGACTAGACTATAGACTAGACTATAGACTAGACTATAGACTAGACTATAGACTAGACTATAGACTAGACTATAGACTAGACTATAGACTAGACTATAGACTAGACTATAGACTAGACTATAGACTAGACTATAGACTAGACTATAGACTAGACTATAGACTAGACTATAGACTAGACTATAGACTAGACTATAGACTAGACTATAGACTAGACTATAGACTAGACTATAGACTAGACTATAGACTAGACTATAGACTAGACTATAGACTAGACTATAGACTAGACTATAGACTAGACTATAGACTAGACTATAGACTAGACTATAGACTAGACTATAGACTAGACTATAGACTAGACTATAGACTAGACTATAGACTAGACTAGACTAGACTAGACTAGACTATAGACTAGACTATAGACTAGACTATAGACTAGACTATAGACTAGACTATAGACTAGACTATAGACTAGACTATAGACTAGACTATAGACTAGACTATAGACTAGACTATAGACTAGACTATAGACTAGACTATAGACTAGACTATAGACTAGACTATAGACTAGACTATAGACTAGACTATAGACTAGACTATAGACTAGACTATAGACTAGACTATAGACTAGACTATAGACTAGACTATAGACTAGACTAGACTATAGACTAGACTATAGACTAGACTATAGACTAGACTATAGACTAGACTATAGACTAGACTATAGACTAGACTATAGACTAGACTATAGACTAGACTATAGACTAGACTATAGACTAGACTATAGACTAGACTATAGACTAGACTATAGACTAGACTATAGACTAGACTATAGACTAGACTATAACTAGACTATAGACTAGACTATAGACTAGACTATAGACTAGACTATAGACTAGACTATAGACTAGACTATAGACTAGACTATAGACTAGACTATAGACTAGACTATAGACTAGACTATAGACTAGACTATAGACTAGACTATAGACTAGACTATAGACTAGACTATAGACTAGACTATAGACTAGACTATAGACTAGACTAGACTAGACTATAGACTAGACTATAGACTAGACTATAGACTAGACTATAGACTAGACTATAGACTAGACTATAAACTAGACTATAGACTAGACTATAGCCGGAATCAGAGGGGGATCAAAGTTGCAAATTTCATCCAAATCGGAAGACATCGCTAAAGGTTGGGTCAATCGACACGAAATTGCACATATGCAATTAGACTAGAGAGGCATTTCACTGAAATCGGACTAACCTTTAAGAATTATTTCCCTCTTTTTTATTCTATTACACTTCTTTCTAGAAGTTTTATTTTAGCTTTAACTCCTTTTAAATTTGGAATCTTATCGGTTGTGGTTTTCAGAAAATTTAGCCTTTTTGTAATTCTGAAAAACATTTCACCACATTTATTAAATAAATTTAAAATGTTTAATACAAATACGTGTTAAAATTCTAAGAATTTGCTCTTTTTTTCTTGAAAATAGCAAAGAATTTATATTAAAATATATTTAAATGAACTTTAAGAGAGCAATTGTATTTGTTAAAGTGATGAAATTATTTACTTAACGTTTATAAAATTAAATTAAAATATTTTCTAAATTTACAAAATAGAATCAGAAAATATGCTCTCTCTCTGCATTAAAATTTAAGTACTGAGAAATCTAATTAATAAGGCCCAAGATAATACACGCTAAAAGGGAAGGAAAAACCCCAATTATTCTCTAGAAAACTTATGTTATGAAAGTGTTAATAATAAGAGAGAAATACCCATTTATACTAGAGATGACTAATATATCAAAACAACAATTTCTCTTTGACCATAAAAAGCCGGCTAATGGACTATATAAACAAACACTTGTTTATGAAATACTTTAGTCTGCTACAAGTTTTCAAGAACTTAACGACCATTTAAATAAATTTCAGAATAACATTCGCCCAAATACCGGTGGCTTTGTTATTAAAGATTAATAGATTTTATACGTCTTCAATTTCAAAGTGTAAAAAATAATAAAACTCCCACAAAAATGGCTCAAATGGTGCAAATGACTACTGAACAATTACAACAACTTATCGAATCGGTACGTGCTTCTGCTGCAGCTGGTACCGTAGTAGCTGAAACTAAGTCCAAAGGAAGTTTTAGTAATTGTTCATCCCGTTTTGGTGGACAACGTGATCATGAAGCTGTTGAGGAATTTATTACCTCAATAGTGACCTATAAAGAAGTCGAATCGATTAGTGATGAAGATGCCTTAAAGGGTGTTTCGTTGCTGTTCTATGGTTTGGCCTCAACCTGGTGGCAGGGTGTGCGTAAGGAAGCTAAAACTTGGAATGATGTTTTGGCTTTGATACGTGATCATTTCTCGCCCACTAAACCGGCCTATCAAATCTATGTGGATATTTTCGATAAGAAACAAGATGATAAAACCGCCATCGATACTTTTGTGTGCCAGAAGAGAGCCCTATTGGCCCAATTGCCCGATGGTAGACATGATGAAGAAACCGAAATTGATTTTGTCTATGGTTTGCTCAACATCAAATATCGTAAACATATTGCTCGTCAAGACTTTAAAACATTCCGTGAATTGTTGGAAAAGGGTCGTGTTATCGAGCATAATATGATGGAAGATGAGGCCAATCAACAGGGTCCTGTTAAGGGTGCCAAGGGCACTAAGAGATGTACTTACTGCAATTTCCGTGGTCACACTTATGATCAATGTCGCAAACGTAAAAATGCCGATAATGAAGATGAATAAAGTCTTTTGAGTACTTTTTTGACTTTAGATTCTAGTCTTTAACTTTAATTATTATTTTTAGTTTAATAAATTTTTATTATTAAGCATTTTGTAACTAGTTTTTAAAAATTAAAAAGATTAAATAAATTTATAAAAGCTGTGCTTTTTATTAAAATATCTGTGCATTTTACTTGATATTCAAATAACTGAGTAAATCGTTTAATGTTTCGTTAACCGATTCTAACGAATTGTTTTTGGTTCCTGATAGTTTGAAACTCTCGAAAATTAAAGAAATTATTAGTTACAATTTAATTGTATATATTGAATTATATATATTTTGGATCCTTATTAGATTATCTGACGAACTAGCTAGGGTTCAAACTAGGGTTCAAAGCTCAAAGGTTGAAATTTCCCACAAATCTTCACAACTGATATGGTTTCTTTGACAATGCAGATGTGTAGTATACTAAGGTCCACGATTTCTCATAGCTCCCAGACAAGTACCCCCCGAATAAACACCCTTAGTTGTACATATTGATTGTTCATCAATCGTGATGAAGTGTTAAGTTTGTTCTATGAGTTCGTTAGTTATATTATTAAGTATAGCGAATATCGGGCCATATCTGATTCTAGGTCCCAAATAAATTCTTCTTTAAAAGATTACTTTAACATTCATAATTGGCTTAAACATTTCAGTATACAAGAGAAACAAGTATTACTCGAATCAAAATTTCTTTATAAAATTTAATAAGAATCATAATTGACCTTAAACCCTTCACTGAAGCCCCTTTTAAAGAAAAACACATAATGATTTTAAGATTGAATTTTCTAAAAATGATTTGATATAATAATATATATAATTCTGCATAAATGTAATATATAAGTAAATAGTGGTAATATAAATGACGAAGGGATCGATCTACATATAAAGATTTAAGTCCATGTATGGGGCCGTCACATAAAATCAATTTTAAATTTACGCCGCTTTGATGGTAATTAAGATTTGACATTAGTATTTCTTTTTGATTCTATTAGGATCATAGGGCCATACGATTTGGAGCCGAATATAACATTCCTATACAGTGATAGGCTTCGCTAAATGCACTTTATTATTTATGTGGATCCCGTTGGGATCCTAATATCCGATGACTTTGAGGACATATTCAAATAATTCTGATGAAAAAGAACACACTAAATAATTCAGATATTTTCTGAAAATGCATTAATTGTACCCACAACATTAAAGTGCTTCCAAAATAATTCGATATAAAGTTATGTAAAATGTTTTTCGAATTTTTATGACTATTATTAATTATGTACTAAACTATTTTTTTTCTAATACGTACTATAAAAAAAACTCTCATAAAGTGACATAAGTTTTTTTTTGTGTTTGGGCAGAAAAACCCCCTTAACTAATCTCTAACACGCATTTCCAAACTTTTAACTAATTTCAAATACTGACGTGTTATTTGTTAACCATACTCGTGTATGGAGTACAATAATAGATAGATATTAATATTAACTCGTCATAATTTTCTCTTTAATCGATTATTTTGGGATCTCTTAGCTGGTATTGCGGTTAAACAATAATTAAAATAAAATTTGCGAGTGTTTAACTAAATCAAAATAAGAATTTAATAAATTGATGAAATAAGTTAACACTAGAAATACCAACGATAAAACATAGAGATATCTTTAAATATAGATAGATAGATAGATAGATAGATAGATAGATAGATAGATAGATAGATAGATAGATAGATAGATAGATAGATAGATAGATAGATAGATAGATAGATAGATAGATAGATAGATAGATAGATAGATAGATAGATAGATAGATAGATAGATAGATAGATAGATAGATAGATAGATAGATAGATAGATAGATAGATAGATAGATAGATAGATAGATAGATAGATAGATAGATAGAATAGATAGATAGATAGATAGATAGATAGATAGATAGATAGATAGATAGATAGATAGATAGATAGATAGATAGATAGATAGATAGATAGATAGATAGATAGATAGATAGATAGATAGATAGATAGATAGATAGATAGATAGATAGATAGATAGATAGATAGATAGATAGATAGATAGATAGATAGATAGATAGATAGATAGATAGATAGATAGATAGATAGATAGATAGATAGATAGATAGATAGATAGATAGATAGATAGATAGATAGATAGATAGATAGATAGATAGATAGATAGATAGATAGATAGATAGATAGATAGATAGATAGATAGATAGATAGATAGATAGATAGATAGATAGATAGATAGATAGATAGATAGATAGATAGATAGATAGATAGATAGATAGATAGATAGATAGATAGATAGATAGATAGATAGATAGAATAGTTAGTAGTTAGTTAGTTAGTTAGTTAGTTAGTTAGTTAGTTAGTTAGTTAGTTAGTTAGTTAGTTAGTTAGTTAGTTAGTTAGTAGTTAGTTAGTTAGTTAGTTAGTTAGTTAGTTAGTTAGTTAGTTAGTTAGTTAGTTAGTAGTTAGTTAGTTAGTTAGTTAGTTAGTTAGTTAGTTAGTTAGTTAGTTAGTTAGTTAGTTAGTTAGTTAGTTAGTTAGTTAGTAGTTAGTTAGTTAGTTAGTTAGTTAGTAGTAGTTAGTTAGTTAGTAGTTAGTTAGTTAGTTAGTTAGTTAGTTAGTTAGTAGTTAGTTAGTTAGTTAGTTAGTAGTTAGTTAGTTAGTTAGTAGTTAGTTAGTTAGTTAGTTAGTTAGTTAGTTAGTTAGTTAGTTAGTTAGTTAGTTAGTAGTTAGTTAGTAGTTAGTTAGTTAGTAGTTAGTAGTTAGTTAGTTAGTTAGTTAGTTAGTTAGTTAGTTAGTTAGTTAGTTAGTAGTTAGTTAGTTAGTTAGTTAGTTAGTTAGTTAGTTAGTTAGTTAGTTAGTTAGTTAGTTAGTTAGTTAGTTAGTTAGTTAGTTAGTTAGTTAGTTAGTTAGTTAGTTAGTTAGTTAGTTAGTTAGTTAGTTAGTTAGTTAGTTAGTTAGTTAGTAGTTAGTTAGTTAGTTAGTTAGTTAGTTAGTTAGTTAGTTAGTAGTTAGTTAGTTAGTTAGTTAGTTAGTTAGTTAGTTAGTTAGTTAGTTAGTTAGTTAGTTAGTTAGTTAGTTAGTTAGTAGTTAGTTAGTTAGTTAGTTAGTTAGTTAGTTAGTTAGTTAGTTAGTTAGTTAGTAGTTAGTTAGTAGTTAGTTAGTTAGTTAGTTAGTTAGTTAGTTAGTTAGTTAGTTAGTTAGTTAGTTAGTTAGTTAGTTAGTTAGTTAGTTAGTTAGTTAGTTAGTTAGTGTAGTTAGTTAGTTAGTTAGTTAGTTAGTTAGTTAGTTAGTTAGTTAGTTAGTTAGTTAGTTAGTTAGTTAGTTAGTTAGTTAGTTAGTTAGTTAGTTAGTTAGTTAGTTAGTTAGTTAGTTAGTTAGTAGTTAGTTAGTTAGTTAGTTAGTTAGTTAGTAGTTAGTTAGTTAGTTAGTAGTTAGTTAGTTAGTTAGTTAGTTAGTTAGTAGTTAGTTAGTTAGTTAGTTAGTTAGTTAGTTAGTTAGTTAGTAGTTAGTTAGTAGTTAGTTAGTTAGTTAGTTAGTTAGTTAGTTAGTTAGTTAGTTAGTTAGTTAGTTAGTTAGTTAGTTAGTTAGTTAGTTAGTTAGTTAGTTAGTTAGTTAGTAGTTAGTTAGTTAGTTAGTTAGTTAGTTAGTTAGTTAGTTAGTTAGTTAGTTAGTTAGTTAGTTAGTTAGTTAGTTAGTTAGTTAGTTAGTTAGTTAGTTAGTAGTTAGTTAGTTAGTTAGTTAGTTAGTTAGTTAGTTAGTTAGTTAGTTAGTTAGTTAGTTAGTAGTTAGTTAGTTAGTTAGTTAGTTAGTTAGTTAGTTAGTTAGTTAGCGCTTATTTCCCACTAAACACATTCGGTTACTGTAGTGTTAAATCTTATCAAAGAGAAGCATTCATATTAGATGATGACTAATACTAATACCGAAGAAAAAACACTAAAGACTCTCCCACCATTTGCCGGCAACTGACTATATATACCGCCAATTGTTTATGAAATTCTTTAGTCTACTGCGAGTTTTCAGAACGCAACGACCACCTATCAAAATAACAACAAAATAACATTCGCCATACTTTCATTGGCTTTGTTATTATCCAACAACCATTTTTTTTTGCTGTAAATCAAAAGTGTTAAAAATAAAATTCCTTCAAAATGGCTCAAATGGTGCAGATGACAACTGAACAATTACAACAACTCATCGAATCGGTACGTGTTTCAGCAGCCGCCGGTAATGTAGTGGCAGAAACCAAATCTAAAGGAAGTTTTAGTAATTGTTATCACCGCTTTGGCGGTCAACGTGATCATGAAGCTGTTGAAGAATTTATTACCTCTATAGTGACCTACAAAGAGGTCGAATCGATTAGCGATGAAGATGCCTTAAAGGGCGTATCCTTGCTGTTCTATGGGTTGGCCTCAACCTGGTGGCAGGGTGTGCGTAAGGAAGCTAAAACCTGGAATGATGTTTTGGCTTTAATACGTGATCATTTCTCGCCCACCAAACCGGCCTATCAAATCTATGTGGATATTTTCGATAAGAAACAAGATGATAAAACCGCTATCGATACTTTTGTGTGCCAGAAGAGAGCCCTATTGGCCCAACTGCCTGAGGGTAGACATGATGAAGAAACCGAAATTGATTTTGTTTATGGTTTGCTCAACATCAAATACCGTAAACATATTGCTCGTCAAGACTTTAAAACATTCCGTGAATTGTTGGAAAAGGGTCGTATTATCGAGCATAATATGATGGAAGATGAGGCCAATCAACAGGGTCCTGTTAAGGGTGCTAAGGGCACTAAGAGATGTACTTACTGTAATTTCCGTGGACACACTTTTGAACAATGTCGCAAACGTAAAAATGCCGATGAGGCATCCAACAATGGCGATTAAAGCAGCAGCAGCAGCAATATTACATTAACCAGAAGAGATTTGTGGACATTTCTTCTCAAAATCTAAAAAGTTCTTAAGGGTAAATGACATCATTAAAGAGAAAGAGTTTAAAAACTCTTTTAGTATTAACTTTATATAGGCTTCTCTTAGTTAAAAGCCCGAGATTTTTCTATACAAATTTTGTTAGTTTTCTTATTTTTATATAAATTTTTTATTTTTTTTTTTTTTAATTTATATAAAAATTTTGTAAATTAAACTTAATATGTATAGATTTTTTTCAGCTTTTAATGACGGGTAACGCCTCTTTAATCTTATTATACATTAAGTTTACGCTAGTTTTACAAACCGGCTTTACAGGCTATGAACGCCTGGACCTAGTTAGTTTATTTCTAAAAATCTTTTAGATTTTAAAGAAATTTACATATAACAAATTAGTAAACATATACAAATAAACCCCATTTTAACGTGTAATGGTGATTTTTCTAAAATTTTAAAATTTTTATAAACTGAAATTTTAAACTAATTTTTCAAAACCCTTAATTAATTTAAGAACTTGTGTCTGAAATTGTTTAAGTGTTAGAGGAAAAATAAGTTTTAAGTTTTAAAGTTATAAATAATTTCAAAATTTAAGGAAAATAACCAAAAAACTGTTATATTAGCAATTTTGAGAAAAAGCTTTTTTAAGAAAACTTTTATTTTAAAATAAAAATTTTGAAATATTTGTATTAATTCTAAGGAAATGATACAAATATTTTAAAATTTTTCTAAAATTAAGTTTTTATTTAAAATCTTTCCTCCATGCAACTAATATAACAAAACCTTTTTCCCCTTAGGGAAAATTTCGTGATTTTAAAAAATTTTGAAAATATTATGATATATATATAACAGCCAAGTAAGGCTGTTATTATCCTTGAAAATTATTAAAACTTTAGAATTATTTTAATTTCTTAAGAACTTTTCTTGAAAATTTCTTAAAAATTTTAAAATATTTCTTTAAGTTTTAACTAATAATCCCCCGATTTGCCATCCTAACTTGGATTTATATTTATTTGTCATTTGTTTTTAAAATTTTCTTTAATTACAAAAAGAGATATTTATATATATTGAGTGTTCATTACACTTTTTGAAATTGTACTACAATGGCTATGTTGACGCCATTCGTACAATTGGCACGCTAGTTAGTACTTTTTAAAATTATCCCAAAACTAAATTTTAAAAAATACTGCCAATGGCACGCCAGCCTTAGTTTTAAGTTTAAGATTTGCTTTAGTATTTCAAAAGAAAATCCTCCAAAAAACTTTAAGGCTTTCTTAACTTTTAGTTTAAAATTTATTAATTAAAGTTTATTTTTTTTATAAACAAAAAAACTAACGACAATATTATATTACAAATTTTATATAAAAACTTTATGAACATTCTACAGTTAGCGCTCTATGGAGGTGGGCCCTCATATAACTCTCGAGTGTTTCTTTAATCCTGCAAAATTGTCTGGTTTTTTGTTTATTTTTTTTTGAACTTTAGTTAATAAGTACACTTTTTTTAGTTTTAAGCATTGTTATTGTAAAACTTATATAAATAATTGTTAACTTTTAAGATTTTGTCACTATTTTTTTAAGAAATTTTGAAAAAAAAAAAACCTAAAAGATCGTACATTTTAAAGACAAAAGAAAAAAGAACTCAGAAAAAAAGCAAAAGAACAAATTAATAAATTAACAAAACAGTGCTTTTTTATAAAAAAAAACTAAATTTTTATGTGTTTTACTTGATATTTTAAAAAGGGCGGGTTGTCAATTTGAATAATATTAGGGAAATTTTGAAAATTTCCCATAAATAAATGTAATTTCGAATATTTGTTTAAAAAAAAGGAGAAAATATTTTATAAATAAAGGTAATTTCAAAAACTTTCTATAAACACAGGAAATTTTGAAAATTTCTCATAAATACGGAACATTTAGAAAAGCTTCTATAAATACAGTGGACGTCCAATAGTACGTATACTCTTTATTACGAATATCCAATAATACGAATGGCAAAATTGTTGCATTGTCTACTCTATAGTACGAATAAAGTCACAATTTTTCTGTTCGATAGTACGAATAACGCATTTTTTATGGGAATTTTGGTTTTATTTACGTATGAATGAAGTTTTTATTATGTTTTTATTTTATTATTTCGGTATCATTCACCTTAAGCTCAGTAATTTTGAAGTTTTTTTGTATTTATTACAAGTGTTTTGTATTTTTAAAAATCCTATACACACAATTTACTGCATGTATACATGTATATATATATTTACAAATCAACAATTATTTACCAAGCAAAAATTTTCATTACCTAGTAATCTAGAAAGTAATATTGGAATCACGTGGAACCTAATTACTTTTGGGGTGAATAACTAATTATTTTTGTTCGACGAGGTTCAAATAATATGTACCTACCTTAAACAAATTAATAAATGGTTACTAATTTGATTACAAAAACTTTGCGAAATAACTAGTTACATATAAACCTACAAATATGTTATGTGATAGCTAGTTATTTTGGGCCGACTTTGTATGTAGTAAAAAAAATAAAAAAATTTTTCGGCCGGGATTTGAACCCAGGCATTCAGTTGTTTTCTATGTTTCTCACTCCAGCCGCTTACTCGATGCTCCATTAACATGTTGCTTTTTATAATTTTGAGAACGGCTTTTTACAAAAATATATAAATGAATGTCATTTTGAAAAAAATATACAGTATCCAGCAGGGCTCGAACCACGAACCCCCTGTTTGTTAAATGAACGACCTAGACAATTGAGCCATAACAAATCCAAATTGTGTTGTTCTTTACCAGTAATAACCTATTCAGCTAAATGAAATAATGTGGATGATAATGAACACTCATTACCAAGTAATGTATGAAATAACTACTGGCTATTACCAAAAATTTCAGATTTTTTACACTATAGTGTTATTAATTTATTTTATTGGAATTTTGATGACCCAAGAGAAGAAATTAAATTGGATGATAACGCCAATGAGGAAAGTATTTTATTAGTTCCCGACAATAACTCTGCTGAGAACAATATTGAAGCCTCAAAAGCGCTGTTATTGAAAAAGCCGTAAGAATCATTTTACAATGTAATAAACCTCGATGTTAAATGATGGATTTTTTAATAAGTAAAATGATATTTATATACATATGTATGTATGAACTGTTAATTTTGAAAGTAGTGTGACTCCACATTCCAAACAATGGGTTTAAGGATAACTATTCTAATTTTTAAGAGAAAATTATAAATTAGAGAATTGTGGTATATTCCATTCAAGTTTCTAATAAAAGTTTTATGTAATCTGAACATTTTAATACATTTTAGAACACATATGTAAATTGCAAATTGTCTTTGGCACACATCTTTTTAAAAACATTAAAATTTAAAACCTTCTACATATATCTCATTTCAACCATTGGACTCACGATACTTTCAAAATTAACAATTCATATACGTAAATATGTCCCTTTTATGCCTGTTTATGTACAAGAAATTTATTTAAAATAATACACATTTATTATATTTTGTTCCGTTATGTAATTTTTCATGAAAAATAAAACAAAAATAAATAAAATCCAATATTTTATGTGTATTATTTGAATTTAAACATACAAAATGTGTTGTTCAATAATACGAATTTTTCGGTATTACGAAAGGGCCTGACACTATATACTTAATTCGTACTAGTGGACGTCCACTGTATAGGAAACTTTTAAAAATGTCCTATAAATAGGAAATTACGCAAATTTTGTGTAAATCAAGAAATTTTGAAAATGTCCTATAATTAAAGGAAATATCGAAAATGTCCTATAAATATAGGAAATTTCGAAAATGTCCTATAAATATGGGAAATTTTATAAATGTTCTTTAAACAAAGAAAATTGCGAAAATTCTCCATAAATATAGAACTATAACTTAAGGCAATTTTGAAAATGTTAGTTAGTTAGTTAGTTAGTTAGTTAGTTAGTTAGTTAGTTAGTTAGTTAGTTAGTTAGTTAGTTAGTTAGTAGTTAGTTAGTTAGTTAGTTAGTTAGTTAGTTAGTTAGTTGGTAGTAGTTAGTTAGTTAGTAGTTAGTTAGTTAGTTAGTAGTTAGTTAGTTAGTTAGTTAGTTAGTTAGTTAGTAGTTAGTTAGTTAGTTAGTTAGTTAGTTAGTTAGTTAGTTAGTTAGTTAGTAGTTAGTTAGTTAGTTAGTAGTTAGTTAGTAGTAGTTAGTTAGTTAGTTAGTTAGTTAGTTAGTAGTTAGTTAGTTAGTTAGTTAGTTAGTTAGTAGTTAGTAGTTAGTTAGTTAGTAGTTAGTTAGTTAGTTAGTTAGTTAGTAGTTAGTTGGTTAGTTAGTAGTTAGTTAGTTAGTTAGTTAGTAGTTAGTTAGAGTTAGTTAGTTAGTTAGTTAGTAGTTAGTTAGTAGTAGTTAGTTAGTTAGTTAGTTAGTAGTTAGTTAGTTAGTTAGTTAGTTAGTTTAGTTAGTTAGTAGTTAGTTAGTTAGTTAGTTAGTTAGTTAGTTAGTTAGTTAGTTAGTTAGTTAGTTAGTTAGTTAGTTAGTTAGTTAGTTAGTTAGTTAGTTAGTTAGTTAGTTAGTAGTTAGTTAGTTAGTTAGTTAGTTAGTTAGTTAGTTAGTTAGTTAGTTAGTTAGTTAGTTAGTAGTTAGTTAGTTAGTTAGTAGTTAGTTAGTTAGTTAGTTTAGTAGTTAGTTAGTTAGTTTAGTAGTTAGTTAGTTAGTTAGTTAGTTAGTTAGTTAGTTAGTTAGTTAGTAGTTAGTTAGTTAGTTAGTTAGTTAGTTAGTTAGTAGTTAGTAGTTAGTTAGTTAGTAGTAGTTAGTTAGTAGTTAGTTAGTTAGTTAGTTAGTTAGTTAGTTAGGTTAGTTAGTTAGTTAGTTAGTTAGTTAGTTAGTTAGTTAGTTAGTTAGTTAGTTAGTTAGTTAGTTAGTTAGTAGTTAGTTAGTTAGTTAGTTAGTTAGTTAGTTAGTTAGTTAGTTAGTTAGTTAGTTAGTTAGTAGTTAGTTAGTTAGTTAGTAGTAGTTAGTTAGTTAGTTAGTAGTTAGTTAGTTAGTTAGTTAGTTAGTTAGTTAGTTAGTTAGTTAGTTAGTTAGTTAGTTAGTTAGTTAGTTAGTTAGTTAGTAGTTAGTTAGTTAGTTAGTTAGTTAGTTAGTTAGTTAGTTAGTTAGTTAGTTAGTTAGTTAGTTAGTTAGTTAGTTAGTTAGTTAGTTAGTTAGTTAGTTAGTTAGTAGTTAGTTAGTTAGTTAGTTAGTTAGTAGTTAGTTAGTTAGTTAGTTAGTTAGTTAGTTAGTTAGTTAGTTAGTTAGTTAGTTAGTTAGTTAGTTAGTTAGTTAGTTAGTTAGTAGTTAGTTAGTTAGTAGTTAGTTAGTTAGTTAGTTAGTTAGTTAGTTAGTTAGTTAGTTAGTTAGTTAGTTAGTTAGTTAGTTAGTTAGTTAGTTAGTTAGTTAGTTAGTTAGTTAGTTAGTTAGTTAGTTAGTTAGTTAGTTAGTTAGTAGTTAGTTAGTTAGTTAGTTAGTTAGTTAGTTAGTTAGTTAGTAGTTAGTTAGTTAGTTAGTTAGTTAGTTAGTAGTTAGTTAGTTAGTAGTTAGTTAGTTAGTTAGTTAGTTAGTTAGTTAGTTAGTTAGTTAGTTAGTTAGTTAGTTAGTTAGTTAGTTAGTTAGTTAGTAGTTAGTTAGTTAGTTAGTTAGTTAGTTAGTTAGTTAGTTAGTTAGTTAGTTAGTTAGTTAGTTAGTTAGTTAGTTAGTAGTTAGTTAGTTAGTTAGTTAGTTAGTTAGTTAGTAGTTAGTTAGTTAGTTAGTAGTTAGTTAGTTAGTTAGTTAGTTAGTTAGTTAGTTAGTTAGTTAGTTAGTTAGTTAGTTAGTTAGTTAGTTAGTTAGTTAGTTAGTTAGTTAGTTAGTTAGTTAGTAGTAGTTAGTTAGTTAGTTAGTTAGTTAGTTAGTTAGTTAGTTAGTTAGTTAGTTAGTTAGTTAGTTAGTTAGTTAGTTAGTTAGTTAGTTAGTTAGTTAGTAGTTAGTTAGTTAGTTAGTTAGTTAGTAGTTAGTTAGTTAGTTAGTTAGTTAGTAGTTAGTTAGTTAGTTAGTTAGTTAGTTAGTTAGTTAGTTAGTTAGTTAGTTAGTTAG